CACATACCCCAACCCGGTGCGGAGCTACCCGGTGTCAGAATATATATATCGGTCAACCCGAGAAATGCCCAGCACGGACTCAGAGGGTTGACATGAACACACCGAACTCTCCGACAAGCATTAATGTCTCCCCTGACTCCATCACAGATACTCTACATAGCGCTAGACTACAGTTCATCGCCATAATCACCATGACCACCCAGCATAAACCATGTTTTCGGTCGCGTAGCAGTCAAGTTTGCCGGAACGGTGCAACGACGTCATAACCCGCAGGTACTCCGATTCCGATCGCGACCCTCGACTTCGACATCAGTCGATTCCCAGTATTGACAGACTCTCCAGTCTCAAAACACTAAACAGGCCGTTCGAGTTTCACGAAAAGGCCTTTTGAACCGCGTCGATGGATCTGAGTCCGAAGCAAGTTGGTGCTGTACGTTCTTCAATTGCTGGACACGCCACAGGGAAGCTGATTTGAATGTAGGATGGAGGGCTAGATGGCGAGATGGACGATCCGAATCAGCTGGAGGTATTGTTTCCTCCCACCCCAATCAACATGAAGCAATGGAGCGAATAGAGCTGACCGTTTGTGATCAAAAATGCCAGGTTGTACTATACCCCGAGTCCAGCCATCGCCGCAAGTCGTCCCTGGTCATGGCGGACGACCCCAACACCCGCCCCAACCTCTCGTTCCCAGATGAAACCACGGCATGCTTCGTCCATTCCCTGATCGCGGGCGAATGGGGGGACCCGACCAACCGGATCAAGGAGATCAAGGGCTACACGGCCAAGGACAACGAGGCGTTGAACGAGGAGGGCGCGGCCGCCGACGAGGACGACAGCGGGAATGACATGACGGTGGCCGAGAAGGCCATGATGCAGTCGCGCCACCTGACCAAGAAGCAGCTTTCGGACATGGCGTGGAACGTGCGCAAGCTGTCGAAGAAGCTGGACAGCGTCAAGCTTCGGCTCACGGTCAAGACCGTGTTCCTCGTGACCAAGGCCGGCGACCAGTCGGTCATCGGCTCAACGCGGGAGGTCGCCCGCTGGCTCCTGTCCCAGGAGCGCGACACGCCGTACATCGTCTACGTGGAGAAGCGCCTGGAGTCGGACCCGGAGTTCGGCGCTGCGCAGCTGCTCCGCGACGAGCCCTCGGCGAGGCATCGCCTCAAGTACTGGGACCACGACCTGGCCGCGGAGCGCGCGCACCTGTTCGACTTCGTCATCACGCTAGGCGGCGACGGCACGGTGCTCTTCACCAGCTGGCTGTTCCAGCACGTCGTGCCCCCGGTGCTGTCCTTCTCCCTGGGGTCGTTGGGCTTCCTGACCAAGTTCGACTTCAACGACTACCAGAACACCCTGACCACCGCCTTCAAGGAGGGCGTCGTGGTCAACCTGCGGCTGCGATTCGAATGCACGATCATGCGGAGCAACCCGCTACCGGACGGCTCGCCGGCGAATGCCAGGAAGCGGGATCTGGTGGAAGAGTTAATCGGGGAGGAGGCCGAGGATACGCTGACCCATAGGCCGGACAAGGTTTTGCAAATATTGAACGATGTTGTCCTGGACAGGGGGCCCAATGCGAGTATGTTCCAATGCGATTCTGATGGCTACTACCGTGATCACTTGCTGACGGGGCTGTTGGCTAGCAATGTCCTCGATTGAGCTGTTTGGCGACGACGAGCACTTCACCACCCTCCTTGCCGATGGCGTCTGTATAGCTACGCCCACCGGGTCAACTGCGTACAACCTCGCAGCGGGGGGCTCTCTATCGCACCCAGATAACCCGGTCATACTGGTGACCGCAATCTGCGCGCACACACTATCATTCCGACCTATTATACTACCAGATACCATCGTCCTTCGCATGGGCGTGCCGTACGATGCCCGAGCTAGTTCGTGGGCCAGTTTCGATGGCAGAGAAAGGTGTGTGTCCTGCAGGCGAGTGCGACGGCTCCTGGGCCCACCGACTAACTTTTGAATATAGGATTGAACTACATCCAGGAGACTACGTGACCGTATCGGCATCACGGTACCCATTTGCCAATGTCCTGCCCAAGGGCCGACGAGGTGACGACTGGGTGCACACGATCTCGAAGACATTAAATTGGAACTCGAGACAGAGGCAGAAATCGCTGGACCCACCACATGAAGATAAGGGTGGTAAATAAGCAGCGGCCGTGAGGCTTAACCCAGAAATCCAGCGCTGAACGCATGAACAAAGATTATTTACTACGTACGGAGTACTCGACAACATATGAGATTCTACTTTTGTGTGGCGTTCCGCTACGATACATATGGAGAAAACTCGAAAAGGACACTGTATAGACAAATCCTATCAGTCCTAGATCATTATCTCATGTTGATAACAACGAAAAGCCGGTCGGTAGAATTTCTATGAATAATGGTAAACGACTCGAACGTTCTTTTTCTTGGGCTGTGGAGTACTGCGGTGAAGTTTTTTTCTCTCGTCTATCTAGTGTATGGGTCGGAAGGGTTACCGGGGCAGCCTAAGGATGTGAGGCTGACTATAAAAACCCCCTTCCCGCCCCGAAAATCTTTTCTTCTTCTTCATGCACCTCAACATCCTCAACATCCTCCTGCTGAGCGCGACACACACCATGCCAGCCACTTCATTCCTTGGGAATTATATGTGATTTCACTTGGAGACATGCAACAGTTGGAGGAGCTTCGAATTTACTTCGGATTCTGCTTGCATCATTCTTGACCTGTTTCCGCTCCGCAAGTCAATGAATGATGCGACTAACTCAATGGTAAGCTACCACTGTTTTTTTTCTATCTGCTTCATGACCAACGGCCCTTTTCCCCGGGCTCTTATGATGAAAACTTTTCCTACATTCGCAGTTTCCACGCTAGCCGTCGCCATGAACCCATCATATAGACGTGCTCTGTGCGCAATACTTCCTTGGATGTCTGACTTGTTTGGTCATATTGGATATTGAATTATCTCAAGTGCCATTTTCACGAGCGTATGCTAATCTGCTCGTGCAGTTTAGGTTCTAGTTTAGCTTTTGCAGTCTCTGACGGTGTCATTCATCGGAGAAGGGAAATCAATGAAAATTCTGAATATTCATCTGAAGATTTTTTTCGGGTCGATTCTCATGCTTGGTTGCGCTGTAGAATGTAGCTTGTAGTTTGTAGTTTGGCTCTTGTTCGTAATGGCTGTGGCTGCGTCGGGCTCTGGGTAGTAAGCAAGCAGTGACCCAGGAATGAGAGGTTTTTTCTTGCTCTGGAGGCCATCTCCGGAGCTGCGAAGCCAGCCGACTGGATGAAGCTATCCCCCGAATTGCGTCCCGAGCATCTGCACCTCCCCGTAAGGTCACTCCATCCAACCCAAGCACAAGCACAAGCACAACCACAATCACCAAACCACTCACACTTATACACCCTCCAAAATCCACACCTCCAAACGGCCAATACACCACCAGCATGAGACATTGAACCCGATCCTCTCGACAGAGACCTCCAGCCTGTCGATAATCCCTTTCCGCATGAATAGAACAAACCACCCTGCCACCTTAGTCCCCTCCCCTCCGACAATCCACAGACAACACAACACAAAGACACAATCACAATGGCCCAACAACCCCCGCGCCACGCCGCAATGCTCTCCCTGAGCAACAGCACCAGCATCAGCAACAGCACCTCCAACCTCTCCTCCACGACGACGATCAGCACCGAACGACCCCTCCAATCCCAAACCCACACACACCTGCCGACGCCCTCGCAATCCAGCACGGGCCTGCGCGTCCCCTCCAACCGGAAAACCATCTACGACCGCCATCTCAACCGCAGCCGGAATGCGGAACTCAGCCGGGCGAGCTTTGCCTTCCTGTTCGGCGAGATGGTCACCTACGCTCAGCGCCGGGTCACGGGAATTCAGGATCTGGAGAGACGGTGAGTAGCACTTACCCTTGTCCCCGCTGTCTTGTTGGTGTCAGGTATATGCATATATCCACTACACACATACATACGGCGAGAAACGGAAACAGCCACTGATGGACCGTGGAAACAGACTCAACGAACAAGGCTACCCGCTCGGCCTCCGGCTGCTGGACCTCCTCTTCTACCGCACGGTGACCGGGTCGAGCTCCTCGTCGGCGCTGTCGAGCAGCTCCTCCACCTCGGCCTCGCCGCCCAACCGGCCGCTCCGCATCCTGCCCCTGTTGCACCTCATCCACGGGCCCCTGTGGCGGCTGCTGTTCACCCGCCCCGCCGACGCCCTCGAGCACTCCGTCTCCCCCGAGACCCCCAACGAGTACATGATCACCGACAACGACCCGCTGGTCAACACCTACATCAGCGTGCCCAAGGAGATGAGCATGCTCAACTGCGCCGCCTTCGTCGCCGGCATCATCGAGGGCGTCTGCGACGGCTGCGGCTTCGAGGCCAAGGTCACCGCCCACAACCAGCCGACGGAGATGTGGCCCAGTCGAACGATATTCCTGCTGCGGTTCGGGGAGAGCGTGATGGAGCGGGAGAAGGTCTTGGAGCGGGCGGGGGTGAAATAGTTTGCGTTGCTCTGCAGAGGGGGCAGCCAGTGGGAGTGGGCCCTATACGGTTTATCGATGAGGGCCCACAGCTTATGACTACTTGCTGGGATGCGGATGGTATTGCGGTGGTGGGGATTTGGGGCATACCGGGTCACGTCTACGCTCTGGTATTGCTGGCTGGGCTGTGTGATACGCTAGAAGCGGATTTGATCTAGATGTGGCCGTCGGCGTTGCGGCGTGATGCTCCTTAAGCGAGGTCAATGACGAGGCGCACCGAGTGCACATCCAGCAAAATGTCTTCCCCTTGGTTGTGCACCTCGTCGAGATATGATACATGCCGCCATACGGAGGAACCTTATATAATACAAGAGGGGGAAAGAAACGTCGATTTCCCATATGCCAAGCTCCACCCCCCAATCCATGCTCTCAGATACCCAAGAACGCCAATAAAAATAGAAATACCATGTTCATTGCGAGCCGAACCCCCGGCTAGTCCGATCTCGCATCCTCTGTTCGTCTCCGTTTCTCTCGATCGTCGTAGGGCGAGGGACTGCGCTTCCTGCGACTGCCTCCATCCGGCCTGTAGCGGTCTGCCGAGCGATCGGGGCTCCGTCGCGGCTCCCTCCGATCCCCATACCGGTCTCTGCGAGGAGAGTAAGACCTCGACCTGGATCGCCGCCTCTCGCGCACCACCGACGCATTGGCGCCCGTGGGACCCCTGGGCCGCTCGTCCGGCATGAATCTCTCATCAGTAACCCCGAGCGGCGCATCCTCCCTCCTCCGCTGCCCGCCACCAAACCGGTTGCTGACCCCATCGCCAAAACGACCCGTATCCTCCGATCGCAGATCCTTGTAGCGGGTGCGCCCTTTCTTGCCCAGCTTCGTCATATCGCGGATCTGCATGTACTCCGGCAAGGTCTCGCGGGCGACATCGTCGACGAACCGGGCGCCCATGGCATTGCGCTGATCCAACCCCTCGCGCTCGACGTCGTCGCGGAAGAAGGCGCCCTTGTGGAAGTAGCGCTGCAGGTAGCCGGCCTGGCCGCGCGCGGCCTCCTTCTCCTGCTTCTGGCGGGCCAGGAACTCGCGGTCCTCGCGCTCGCGCTCCTCGGCCGTCAGCTCGCGGCGCCGCTCGATCTCCTCGCGCTCCTTCTCGGCGGCCTCGATCGCCTCGCGCTCGCGCTTCACGCGCTTCAGCTCGCGCAGCTTCCACGCCGCGTACTCGGCCGCCGGGTCCTTGCCGTCCGTATCGTCGATCGCCTCCTCCTCCGCGACCTCCAGCTCGTCGTCGTCCCACGCTCGGTTCGCGGCGCTGCGCGCGATCGCCTCCTTCTCGAGTTGCTCGCGCACAAGCGCGTCGGCTTTCTCCTGGCGCTGGGCGCGGCGGGCCTCCGCGTCCGCGGCCGAGTCGGCGTGATGATCCGGTTGTGCTTTGGTGTCTGAGGTGGTGGTGGCGGCGGCGTTGCGCTGGTTCTTTTTGATGAAGGTCGGCCGCAGGAGGATTCGGCGGGGGGTTTCTTCTTCCGACGAACTTTCCTCTTCTTCTGATTCCTCCTCCTCTGATTCATCCTCCACCTGCGCCCCCCTTCCCACCACCCCCCTAGAACCAGAACCAGAACCAGAAGTAGAAGTAGAAACCCCAGCTCCATCGCCAGCAACAGAGCTCCCCACTTTCCTTTCCTCAGCATCCCCCTCCTCCTCTTCCTCCTCCTCCGTAACAAACCCCTCCTCATCCTCCTCAGCTACAGCTTCCTCAAACCTCACTCCCTTCACCCCAGACGTAACCGCCGCCGCCCCAGCGGGAAAAGAACTAGCCTTGGGTGTTGGTCTAGCCAACGCCGCCGCCCTCCGGCGCTGCTCCTCGCGACGACGGCGCTCCTCCTGCTCTTTTTGTTGCTGTTCCTCCTCCTCATCTTCATCGTCCTCGTCGGACGAAGGCTCCTCGGCGATCGGTTTGCCGGGGCGGTAGCGGCTCGGTCGTTGCGGGTTGGCGGTCATGCCGCGGTGGTGGGAGGGGAGGGGGGGGGGCATGGTTGCCTGCCTTGAGGTGGGTTGGCTTTTGTGTGTGTTGTGATGTGGGTGGTTGATCGGTTGATTGGGGTTGGAGGAGGGTGTAGTTGCTGGTGAATAAGGGACCTTGTAATGCGAAGCTGGAGTATAGGTGGTGTAGTGTCGAGTCCAGCCAGAAAGTTAGTTAACTTTACCCGGGAAAGCTGCTTTTCCAGGTGCGTGCAGAGTGCCGGCAGTAGCTAGGTAGTAGTAGCCTTACATCCTCAGGCACCGAGGCGGCAGAAACGCATAAACTACCCCCAGGCTGAACCGGATTTTCTTTCCCGAGCGGTGGATGGGAAGAGGTGGTAAATCACGTGCCCTCGCGTTACGCGTGCGCGCGACGGCGATAAGTCCATCCATCCATCCATCCATCCATCACTAACCACCATCAGCAAGCTAGCCAGTGACTAACTATAGCCTCGCCCCAGTCCCACACACTACAAACTCACATAACCCCCCCTGTCCGACACACACAGTACTTCCAATCCACCCCCCCACCCCCCATCTACTCCTCCAAAGAACCCCCCGAAACAAACACGAAGAAAAGATGTCCCTCCAAACCCCCCGCGTCCTCCCCGCCCACCTGCACGCCTTCCACCCCTCCTCCTCGACCACCAGCAAGCACACCGTCCGCATCCTGGGCACCGTCTCCGCCCTGCGCGGCGACACCGCCACCCTCACCTGCGGTTCCTCGGGGGACGTCACGATCATCCTGAAGCCCGACTCGCATCTGCAGATGGGCAAGTTGGTGGAGGTTATCGGGAAGGTGACGGATTTGAACGAGGGGGTGCGTTCTTTTCCCCCCCTTTCCCTTTCCCTTTCTTGGGGGCGAGGACCCTGGATTTTAGGTGGACTATGGCTGACAACTTGTCTCTGGTGTAGGGCGTTGGCATCCGATTGCTCGGCGTTACGGATCTGGGGGATCCGGCGGATTGTGGTATGTTTCCCTCGCCCTGATGATCGGGTTTGGGGCCAAACGATGGGCGTGGGCTGATTGGTTGTAGATTACAAGATCTATGAGCAGGTTGTGAACGCTACGCATAAGCTGAAGTCGATTTTCTATGATTCGAATGAGTGAAGTGAGGTGGAGAGGTGGTGATGAGGAGGAGGAGGAGGAGGAGGAGGAGGAGGAGGAGGAGGAGGAGGATGAGGTTGAGTGATATACCCCTGTTGCGGTTTGAGGATTGGAGGGAGAGTGCATGCTGTTGTTTTTATGAATAAAATGTTATTGATTGTCTGTTCCGGGTCTGAAGCCTTGAAGGACAGAGAGTAGGTGTAAGCCTGGTCGGGTTAGATGTGAGAGCTACGGAGTACAGATCAAGAAGTCAATCAAGCTAGACAAGCAGATCCAATTCTACACGCCGATAAGTAGAAGTCTCAATTGATTATTTCATTGTTGTGGCCGAAACCTGGTATCTACTGTGGTATCTTAATCCTATCCTATCCTATCCCAATCCTCCCATCCCTCCCATTGAATAGCAAATACAAAACAAGGATCCGTTCAGGAACAAACCCACAAAACAAAGCCAAACAATGCACTCGATCATATGCATCCACTGAACGCCATCGCTAAACACATCACAAAAAGGAATTCGAACGAATGTCGCGCGTCTCGTCAAATAAAGTAAAGAAAATCATTACACATCATTGGCACGCGGCTGCGCCTCGTGCCCAGTGCCGGACTCCGCAGTCTTGCCTTTGACACCCAGTGCCGGCACTGTCTCAGGATTGATGGCGTCGGAGCTGAAGAATCCGGAATCGAGCACGTTCGTTTCGACATAATTGAAGATATCAAACTGGTTGGCCTTCTGGAGCTCCGGGTCAGCCATGAGCGCGTTGAGCAGATCCCGCGGATCGTCCCCACTCGCCCCCGAGTCTCCGTTGGCCGCCTCGCCCTCAGATCCAGCCGGAGAGACATAATCGGACGGAATCCAGTCAGGCCAGCTGTTGCCCGCAGCACATTTGTCGATTCCGAACAGTGCGTCCGTGGCTGCGGCCGAAGGCGCGTCGGAGAAGATGTCAACGATCATGTTGTCCACCCCCTCAAAACCGCCGAAAGCGTTGACAGGCAGCTGGAGGTCACTCAGGGTCGATCGAGCCTGCTTCGGGGCCTTGTGCTGACGCGGCATGGGGCCGGGGCTGCTCTGGATCCGCTGAAGTCTTTGCGCAGTGAGTCTGGTAGGGGACGTATCCGCAGCGACTCCTCTCCGTGCCTTCGCCGAAGGGGAGATGCACGGCAAGGAAAGGCGCTTCTCGCTCAACAGACCCGACCGCTGATTGCGTCGCCGAGGGGTCGGGCTCACGGGCACGTCGAATCCGAAACTCGGGCTCTCAAAAAGTGCGTCCAGGTTAGTCGCAGTCTGGTTCTCTTTGTCGTCAGCCGGCTTTTCGGCCGCCCGAGAACTGCGGGGGCTGCGGCGTGGGCTGTTGACGCTTGAGTCACCCAATGCTCTCAACGGTCCACTTTCATTGTTGGAGTTAGGAAAAAGCACTCTTCTCACTGACTTGGGAGTAAGAGCATTCTCGCCCGCCGCTGGAGCATTGCGCCCCACCACGTTTCTCGCAGGGCTAGACTGGATCGCGTCGCGAAGAGCAGCCACCGGGTCTTGCTCCTGCCAGCGACTGGCCGCTGTGTCGTTTGACTTGCGCGGCTCCAGGCTGTTGGCACGGCGCCGCTTGGCGGGCTGCTCCTGGGCTCCGTCACGATCCTGCTCGTTGTTGGTCTCAGCCTCGTTGCTGTCATTATCGCCGCGGGGAGTGGCATCGTCCACCGCGGGAGAAGAGGCATCGGATGCCCCAGGAGACGATTCGTCCGCTTTGGAGGACTCGGCCCTGGCACGGTGTCTCGTTGCAGGGTTGTTGTTGTTGGTAGAGAGCGGGCCGCCTCCCTTGCGGTTCCTTGGGGGACGCTTTCTCTTGTTGCTGGCGGTCTTGTTCCATTTATTTTCCGGGCGCATGCACTTGAACTTGTGGAGCCAAAGGCCACAGGCTTTCCTGAATGTTAGTACAGACGAGGCAGAAGTGGAGCGGGTATTACTTACGGTTGCAAAGAAGGACCTGAACAAAGTCGTTGTCGGTGTCGGCTAGGCTCTTCTTGTAGACCTTGAATTTGATGACCTTCTCTCGATCGTCACGTTCAACAGCCTGCCAAAACAACATGGTGGGATCCTCCGTGAGTTTATTAGCGTCGTCTTCGTTGCCTTCGAACTCTTTCGACCACGCTCTGCGCCAGGTGGGGGTTTCGATGGCACCGCAGTTTTCGCAGTAAGGTGGGACCTGACCGTCCCGAATGCACCGATCGAGGCGTGCCTGAACCTGTCGCAACCGGCGAGCGCCCGTGCCGCTGCGGATTTTGCCATCCTCGAGTACAGGCTGCGGGGCCGGGGTCTCAGCACCATTGTAGTCGCTCATCGGTCCGGTCCAGGCCTGGGAGTTGTGCGTGTTGACATGAGAAGGGAGGATTGGATCACTGGCGGGAATGGTACTGATCAGCTGCTCGAGTTCACTCTGCGACATGGGTGCAGGTGCAAGTGGCTTGGGAGCCTGTCTCATGCTAGCTCGAGAAGATGGCCTCGAGCCGGCGTTGCTGGCTGGTGCGCGGATCAGAACGGGTGTTCTTTCCTTTCCAGGTTGGTCCGGAGCGTCGCTGGCCGGGAAGTTCTCCATGTTAGTGGGCGCAGTGATCGGCGAGCTGGCATGTGCAGCAGGACGGACAATCCGTTTCTCTCTGCCTGCGCCAGTTGAATCGTCCAGAGGGGTACCGATTTCTTCATCCAGCAGCTCATCCATACCACCACTCATGAAGCCCGAGTCGGCCATGGGTGGAAGGACTGGGCTGGAGCGGCCTGGGAACCCGCAGTCGAGAACGGGAGGCGACGATGGCATACTGAACGAAGGCTCGAAGAGGCCCTGGTAACGCGACTCAGGGGACTGGTTATCGCCGGCGGGGTGATCATCGCTCATAGGATACGGAGAGGTGTAGGGGGTGTGAAGGGATGACTCGCGGAGCAAGCTGGGAGGAGGACGTGCGCGACGAGCAATTTCATGCGAGTTAGAGATTGGGGTGGGCGGGCGAACAGGCTCTTCATTCGAGTTCTGAGCAGCAGCAATGGCGGGGTTGACCGGAGTAGGGCGATGAATGCGGACAGAGGCTGCGGTGCTCGCGGCGACCCGCAAAGAGCTGGGTTGTCTCTCAATATTCAAGTCGGACTTTCCAGGCCACTCTGCCCGATACAATTTGGCCCTTTTGCGGGGTTGTTGTTCCGAAGACTCGTCGCAACTGCCGTAGCCGGATTGAATGGAGCCTCGACGACTGGGGGCGTATCTCGAGTGAGTGGGAAGATCCGAGTCACGCATCGAAGCACTGGAGCCTGGTCGGATGGCATCGTTGTGTAGATGATTTTGCTGGTGCTGAAGCTGCTGTGTATGCTCCTGTTGCTGCGCGGGGGTGGGGATTCTGCTCACAGGGCCGAGCGCCGATTGCGCGGGGGAAGCCGAGCGTATCGACGCATTTCCAGCCATTGAGGGTAGCTCCCTTGGCGTCGACCCCTCGCTGAGCAATTGGTGGAACCTCTCAATTCCGGCATGATCCACCGGTGATGCTATGGGGTCCGGCTGCTGCTCGCGGGGAGACACCAAGCCCGGGTTTTGCCGCACAAAACTCGTCCAAGCCTGGGCGTCGAACTCGTGAGGAATGACGTTGCTCAATTCCCGGTACTTCTGCATGCTCTCGAGATAATCGCTCTGCAGGACGGTTGGGACCGGCACCAATCGCAATTTCACCTCCAATGTCTCCTGAGCACCCTTAGAGAATAGACCCAGAACGTTCTTGCACACTCGACCGGTAACCATTGTTTTCGACTGATGGGCGGGGGCGTTGGGGGTGGGAGAAGCCGACGCAAGCACCCACGACAGCATTCCCTGTCCGACCAGAGGCGTCTCATACTCGGAGTAATCGTAGGCGTACACGGTGTAGTCCTGTCCAAGCTTGGCAACCAGTTCCGGGCTGTGACGATGAAAATGAGTACAAAAACCAGGTATCCAGCTCCATCCTTAGCACTCACCTCGCCGAAACAATGGCCTGGATGCATGTTTTCAGCTCAATGACACCGATCTGCAGCTTCTCGTCGAGGGCGGCGGTCTGGATGTCGAGAAGATGGGGCCACCGGGCCAAGCAATTGGTCTTGCTGGACTCGTCAAACGTATAGAGTACCTTCACTAGAAAGGGTGATTTTGGTGAGTTCGTGATTGTGAGGGGTTGGACAGCAATTGAAGGAATCGACTTACGCCTCATAGGCCGGACGGAAATTCCGTCCTGGGATTCCATGCCACCAGTGCTAGCGAATTGACCATAAGCAGAAACAGGAAACCAGGAGTTGGTCTGAATGAGTGGTTGGCGAGAACGAGATTGTTGTAGGCGGCACCGAGTCTAGTAAAACCGAAGGTCGAGTTGAACGAATTGACACTCGAGAGAACGAGCTTCAATGGTCGGTGTCGAAATTGAAGCAAGGAAGATTGATCGCGTGGGATTGACCACTTAGAACCGTCCGATAGGCGAGTGCGTCGACCGGGAGAATGCACTGGAATGTATGCACGGAAGGACGCGGGGAAAGCCCTGAAGGAATGCTAACGCGGGACACCGAATCGTAAAAGGAGGGGAGGCCGTTAAATCTCGAGGCATGGGATGGAAGGAGAAAAGCTCGAAAAGGAGAGTTTTTGCAGGAACGAGAAACTCCTTGTTTTATTTTTTTTCCTTCTCTCTCCTCTGCTTCCTCTTCAAGAGGTAGTTAATCTGCTGAGATAGGTTGAAGGGGAAGTGAGGGTTGGAAAGGAGAAGGAGAGAGAGAGAGTGGCAGTGTGTGTGGAAAGCAGAGTAAGAAGAGCAGAACGCCTTGCATTTGAATGAAGTGGAGGGAGGAAGTGGAAGTGGTTTGAAGCTTGGACGATCCGCCCTCACGTCTAGAAGCGTGTCTGTCCGACGCGACGTGACGCAGCCAATCGCGACCTCGGGAATCACTAGCGGACAAACACGGCAAACACGCGTTGCACGTGACGTGACTTGACTGAATTGACCGAACTTGGAAGCTGCGGCGGAACTCCAGGAGCAATCCCAGTCTAACCCAGTTTAACTAACCTGAAGAGACACTGAGAGTTGGAAGTTCGAGAGAAGCCCGTCGGTCGAGAGAGAAGCTGCCAACTCCCTGATACTTATACCTTTTCCCACCCCATCCCACCACCACCACCCACCATGTCGACCGATCCTAAGATCCAGTACGTTTACCCCTCTCTGGTTCTTCCTGTCTTTCTATCGAGATGAGTCAGCTCTGGCTCATCCCATCCTTCCATAATATGAAATGAAATGAACCGCAACCGCGCAACTGGTCGGACCTCAGGCTAACCACTTATTTTCCAAACCTACAGGGACCTGCTCAACAAGCCCAAGAGCGAGCTCACGTACGTTTGTTCCCTTCGTATCCTATCACCCTATTCAACCCAGCACCCTGAACTATCTTCCAACGCTCTGGGACTCTCTCAAATCCGCGTCGTCACATGATGACGACCACCGAGCCCCGACGTTCTGGTGTCGGCGACAAGATGATGCCACTTGAATGCTGCTGCCACTCATTGGGCATTGTCCCTACCCCGCGCCTATCTCCATCTCTACTTTCGTCATCACTATGCCCCTTCACTGCCTACATTGTCTACGTTCCCCCACCTCCATCCGCATCACACTAACCTAAACCCTCCATCCAGTGAATATGAGGTCTCTCTCGTCGAGGAACACGAGCTCACCGCGGGCCCCCTCTCGCTCCTCCAGACCGCCACGCGCACACACACCCAGGTGCTGATCTCGTGCCGGAACAACCGCAAGCTGCTGGCGCGCGTCAAGGCTTTCGACCGCCACTGCAACATGGTCCTCGAGAACGTCAAGGAGATGTGGACGGAGAAGCCCAAGGGCGGCAAGGGCAAGGGTGTCAACAAGGATCGGTTCATCAGCAAGATGTACGTGCCCGCTCTGGTTACCCAGGAGTTGCCGACAAGACTCTTTGCCCTACTTAACACCGTATTATTACTAACAGGTTAACCCGTCTAGGTTCCTGCGTGGTGACTCCGTCATCCTCGTCCTGCTGAGCTGAATAAGCTTCTTTATCTCGCCATGTACCTTCCACGTGACATGCTCACCTAAATCTCGGCGTCCGGGGGAGGTCAAAAAGAAGTTGTGGCTCTTTTCTCTCAGGGATTTGATCATACAAATGCCCAAATGAAAGGGAAGCAGTAAATGTGAGCATTTTGTCTGGCAGATGCCACAGGGAAAATCGGAGTGGGCCATGACTTTCTTATTTGATACCCTTGTGTTCGTGTGCGCTTTCTCGAAAGATGAGAAAACTCCTCTCAGGGTCATATTGGGGTCCATGGGTGAGGGGAGGGGAGTTCAGCCACCCTTCCTCCGCCACCAAAGCCGGAGATTTCTTGTTTATCAGTGGACTGTCATTTGCCTGTCTGGCCCTCTCTTACATACTTCTTTTTATATCTTTGATCTGATGTCTTTTTCTCTCCTTTGCTATTTCTCGTTGTGGCGCGACAGATATGGCGTTCTTCGGTACTTCTGTGGTTTTGGAAAAAAGTTAGAAAAAGGAATGAAAGGACGGTGAAGAGAACTCTTTTCTTGATTCATTTTGCTGGTTCAGTAATCGGACGGTCAGGATGGGAGATTAGGTGACTGATTCTATCAACCTGACTGAGCCCGTTGCTAGATGCTAGCTAGCTATGTAGGTGCATCTTTGGCATAGAAACATACCAGAAAGGCCTTCAATACCATGGGAAAAGTTTTCGTTCCAACCCTAGAGCGAAATCCGCTTCTAGAGTTGTATCTGTATTCTCTGGACCTAGGCTCCCCTAGGGCGCCTAATCCGTGGCTGTCCGTTATGTATAAGCAGTTCGTTACCTTTTACACTCGATGCCTACTACGAAAACAGTAGATAGTAGATCTATACCGAAGGCTACTTTGGTCGGACCTCTCTACCCTCCCCCTCCCCCCCTCCTAGTAAACGGCGTAACGGGGATGCGATTCCGAAGTATGTGAGGTTTAGCAAAGGCCCCCAACTCTTACTGTCACGCGAAGCCTAGCCGACAGAAACTGTTGTGTCTTCGTCCAGACGCCAGGGGTTAGACTACAATGCTTTGGTAGCTTATCCCATTTGACTTATGAAACACCGGCCTCGTAACATGGTCATTATTGATATTGAGAATTAGAACATTGAACGCTCCAAAGTATATATACGATGAACCCCCCAAAAATCCCTGCCTTGGCCCTACTAACTCAACTCAAAGGGCCTCCGCCAATCCATTCAAGAACTCACTGAGCCCGTAAGCACCCGGGTCCGGGATCTTGCCCACCCACTCATCCTCGCCGCCGACATACACACTGCGTCCCAGGCTGGCCTTCATGTGCTTGGTGGAGTCGGTCCCCTCCTGCGCCGCCTTGGCCGCGGCGTGGACATCCTTGGTCTCCTGGAGGGTCTTGCAGAAGGGCACCAGGGCGTCGAGCAGGGTGCGGTCGCCCGGTTGCGCCGGGGTGTACTTCGAGAGCGCGGAGAGCGAGTAATTCAATGCGGCGGCCCACACGTCCACCGTCGCCGGGGTGGCGGTGCCCTGGTCTTGTTCGCGGAGGCCGTGAGCGAGCGCGTTCAGGAAAATGGCGTAGATGGCGCCCGAGGTGCCGTCCATCGTGTTCTCGACGACGCTGACGATGCGGTTGACGGCGTGGACTACGTCGTCGGTCAGGTCGGGCGAGGAGCTCTCCAGGAGAGCCGTCACGGCCTCGGCGCCTCGCTTCAGGCCGACTCCGCAGTCGCCGTCGCCGACGATGGTGTCGAAGCGCGTGGTTTCGGGCTCGGCGGCAATGACGCGTTTGAGAGCGCTGCTGAGGACCTTCTTCAGGATGCTGACGTCCACTGTCGGGTGTTAGTGATGTTTGGGGTGGTGCAGGAAATAGGGAACCTGCTGGGCTACTTACACTTCACGTTGCTTGGGTTGTCCTCCGGCAACGCAGTCCTCTTGATCTCCACAGGAGCGTCGGTGCGATGCTTCCATGTCTCCCGGCTGATGGGGGCCGACCAGCCGACAGCCTCCGCAGGCGCATCGAGGAGGTCTAGGAAGGACCGGCCGGGGCCCAGCCCTGTATCTACCAGCTTCAGCAGGGAGATGCTGAAGCCCAACCCGTTGAGGCTGGTGAGGAAGGTTCCTTGGATGACTCGGATCGGCTGGACATCATAATCTCTGTCGAGTTGACGATAGACCTCGTCCGTGATGCCGGAAAGTTCCAAGGTGCTAACGCCACCCAAGTTGTTGATTAACAACACAAAGTCATCCTCGGGCTTCCGGGTGACCCAAGCGCGGTCGGGATCATTGTGATCCAGAAGCTGGAGAAGCATGTTGGCCACTAGCTCAACCAGATTCGCCTTCACTCGGTGGGATCCCGGCTCATTGTGAATGCCCATTCCGACCTCGACTTCGCCTTCCGAGATTGTGTCTTCGGGAACGCCCCGGCCAGGAACATGAACGTGCTCGAGCGAAGACCCTACCGACACGAGGTTATTGTTCGCTAGCTGTGCCAGGTGATACACCTCTTCCAGTGAGCCACTATGCTGAAGTTAGTTCCGCTGCGCACTAGTCTGTCTCGTTGAAGGAGTAAAACCGACCCTGCTTCAGCCAGAGCACCGACGGCCTTGAGAATGAGAACACCACCGCCAATACCACGACGACCGACCTTGCCGCCCTTCTCCTTGCCCACGCCGACATCGTCATTGATAGCGAAGAACTCAGTCTTGATGCCAGCAGCCCGCGACTTCTCCGTGGCCATGCCGAAGTTGAGCACGTCGCCCGTGTAGTTCATGGGGATGATGAGCACACCCTGGTCGCTGTTGACGCATTCCATGACGGCTTTGCGAATCTGCTCCGCCGAGGGTGAAGCGAAGATTGTACCGGCCGCGGAAGCATCGAGGAAACCCTTCCCGACGAAGCCTGCAAACGCAGGCTCATGGCCCGAACCACCACCCGATATAATGGCGACCTTGGGCTTTGCATTCACATTGGGGCGACGGAAGATGATCTTGTTCTCAGGATCGAATGCTACCGATGGGTTTGTGAGGGTGAGGGAATGCAGAGCGGTCTGGACCAAATGGGTAGGATCCGAGAAGAAGTGTTTGGCTAACGGGCCGGCGTTAGTGGATGGAACAATCTAGTGTAGACTTTCTGAATGACCATGGAACAGGTTTCGGGCCTGCATGGGGGCTGCTAGCAAACCAGCCAGGCTACCGAATTTCCACAGGACTATATAAGATCGTATGAGGGTGTGAGACCTACTTTGCATTTTGTGGAAGGTCTGATGGACGATCTCCGGTTAAGTATGACGTTAAGCTGCGTATGGAGACGAACCGTTTCGCGAGTGGAACCGATCGATGTATGGAGTTTGTGGGGGTGGTTGGACTTGCGCACGGTCTTCTTGGTATATTTAGCCTGTCTCGGGGACTCGCAACTCTTTGCAATGATCACTTGATCTCTTCCCTCCGAACCGAAAGTTTCACAAGATGGAGCGTCACGATTGTACGGCAATACGACGACAGCGATCCTGGTCGAGGCGCAATGGTTGGGATCGGAACGCAAGCCGGATGAGGCGGGGAAGTGGGGAACCCCGATTCTACTGGGTCTGGCAGCTGTCAACCTGGGCAAAGAGAAACCATTGCGATGTTGAGGAGAATGGAGAAGGATCCTTGCTCAGCAGTACTCACCCGTCGCAATCACTTGACAAGAGGCGGAAAGGAAGAACTGCCGATGAATGGACAGTTAGGGATCAATTGGTGGGCGATTGAGGACGGAGGATAACCTGGGCCAACTGAAGAGGCCAAGCAAGTGACAATCACACGAGAATCAACCAAAAGAAAAGGGATTAGACCAGGAATAAGACCAAGGATGAGGGCGCAACAGCTGGGCTAAATACCAGTCGCGAAGAGAATGAGAACAAGCAACCCACGACTTCGACATGGCGTAAGAAGTAGTGGTATGGAGTAGACGCAGTAACCTGTTTCCCCAATAGCTCGATTTGCCCACTCTGTCCATTCAATGTTCTCAATTGTTGTCCCCCTTCCGTGGAGATTCAATTTTTGCTGCTCACATGAACAAATGGTTTCGCATGACTTGACCAGTGTGTTCAATGGATCGTATGCTGGTGTTCTGGATCTGGCAATTGGGAATTAATTTCCCCTTGAACCGGCCCCGCCAACCTTACCCCATGGGTCTGGACTCTTGGAACCTTGACACTGAAGCGCTTCGGCTTACCCTTTGCGGGAATTCCGCGGTCCTCCCGCCCGCGACATGCCTCTACAGTCGACCCGAGTCTGGATGCAGATTCTAAAGAGTTGTTCGGACCTGCAGAGCAGCAGATGCGCCAGTCAGTTGAAGCATTAACATGCTGACTATACAGTAACATGAGTACTACGTACTGCACAGGAGATTTCATGATCGACTCAACAACCAGGTAATCGATAAGGCGAATTCATTTCGTGGCTTATCCCAATCGATGTCACCGGTGCGTAATCCTTCTGGTTTAGGAGGCTTCTATAAAGTACTCCGAAACCATATCTTGCAATGGCCGTGGCAAGTTGACACAGGTTTGCTGTGCTACAATTGTTCATTCGAGTCACAATGCATCGCAAAGCACGTCAAGCATGCCTGGCTGTTTCAATCCAGCACCCATTCAGATGGAGATACGAGCTTCGTAATTCTATACTAGGGGAGCCAAGTAAAGTTGCTCAGCAAATATTTCTGAGATCCACAAACACATCAGGTCCGGCACATATTTCTGCAACCTGTTGCCAGTTGAGACAGTCTTGCTGACAACTGGTATGCATATGATCTTTACTAGTACTATGTAGTAACCACATCAGCATCCCAACATTTCAGCCCCTCCCCTGCAGGACAAACCCGATCATGGGACTCTGAAAAAAAAAATGGAAGGGCGGCAGAAAGGGTGATAGTTCCAAAGTTCCGCTGTCAGATTGATGCAGCGGCAATCCCAGGAATAGTGCGGGGGCGCGTACACCGTCCTAAATCGGACGATTCTTTCCTATTCAGTTCCTACTAACACTCGCAAAGTGAGAATCATTGCATGTCCACCGTAAGTCCGTAAGGTCGATGCATAATCTGACCTTCCACGTGAGCAATGGATTCTTTCCAAGTGAGTAAAGCATAGCCTACCCTCCGTGGCCACCAATTTCACAATTCCCCGAAGTTGATATGCAGCCACATCCAAGTGAGGGGGGTTGAACCTCTGTCCTGCCGGCAATTTCTGTTACCGCCTTCCGAGTTGCCATTTCCGGTCACTCGGCTCACCTGCCAGGCCAGGTGCTGTTCCATGGTAGATGCGGAAGCTTATTGAAGCAGCGATGCATGTATGCAACAGCCTCTATTACGGTATATGAGCTGGAGGTTGTTGGCCGTCGACTCACCTGATTGGGATTTAGTTTCCTCCCGAGTCGTTTTCGGTTTTCAATGTTGCCATGCTATATTACTCTCAGACGCTCGCTGCAATAAATTGATGTTGTTGTTGTTGTTCGCCAAAGGCCATATCGGTTTGGGAATGATATCTATCATCATGCTTTTCCAATTCATCTCTCAAGTTCCAATGGAGAAAGCCTAGAGTACGCACTTGATTTCCTACGCCACGATCTAGCCTTTCTCCGTGCGCTTGAGTGCTGGCACAGTTGCTGCTTCTGCTCCCTAAGTGACTGCAACGTGCTTGCTTCATCCGCGTCAATCCAGGAATCAATAAGTATTCCTCGAAAGTTGACATTTTTGACCGTATCCTGAGGGACTGACAATGTGTCAAAGATGGCACAACATAGTATGCCAGAGAAGCAATGTGATACACCCAGAAGCCAGACATCAGCTCCTCGAGGCTTTGCAGCAGCGCGCTCGTCGTCAGGTTCCGTCCCATAAGTGCAAAGTCTCATCATCGCACTCGGACTCTACTACTATTTAGTAGTCACCAAACCGTCGGGTGAGACGGCCACCACCCAGAACTAATCAGAATAGCCTCCAATTGAGGCTCAGGGGGAAAGGGTTTGCAGACCGCGGTGGGTCTCAACCTCATCTCCGAGGCAGGACGCCACGACCCACCACTTAGCTATCACAACCGAACCACTGCAGGGCCTCAAGAGTCTGCTGGTAAATTGGCACTAGTTACTTTGTAGTAGGTTACCGCGAGAGTCTTGAGAAGAAACTGAAATAGCCCCTCGAGGCCGAGGGTCTGCACTCGGTAGTAGGCTAGCCGGGGGGCGAACTCACCCTCATGGCTCATGCGCTCTTGGTCCCTGAAATAAGCCGGATCCACAATAGCTTAGTACTTACGACTTGTCCCCTTTCTACAAAGATTGGAGCCAACGATAGAGATCCTTCATAATCGTGAGTCTTGAGGGTAGACGGAATCACGTAGTGATGACTTGATTCGTGTCAATATAATGTCTCTTAGTAGAATCTTTTGCAGTCTGTATTCATCTACCTTTTCATTCTTTATAGGACATTGCTTAGAAAAGGGTCTACGTGGAAGAGTGATATAGATTGATATCTGAACGTTGTATATTCCACGTGTGGTTAGCAGCGAGTCAGCAAAACCCTGCCATAATTAGGGGTTGAACGGTGACCAATGGCATTGTTTCCCATACTAACACCCACTGTAACAACTGGAACACTATTGATTTGCTCCAAATGAGATACTTTATTTCCAAAGAGGACCGCTTAAAAAATCTCGTTTTACCCCCCTTACCACCCTTGATGGAGTGATCAACTAGCAAAGCCTTCACGGGAGCTAGGATGAACGCTCTTCTAGTTCCAGCACTAAGGCAACAAGTGCCGCCTCGAATAGGCCTAGTCAGGTCCGCTGCAAACAGTCTATACCAGACTTTCATCTCCATCTTGACTGAGCTTCGTAAATCGCCAACTTCTTCTCCAAATGGACTAGTAGTGCTCCAGTCTCAAAAGTGGCAGCATACTGAAGTGTCGCTCGATTGCAATGGATATAAAAGTATGGAAAGTTCCTATTCTCTACAGGTATCAGACCTGCAATATCAGCCTCATAACGAGTCTGTCTCAACTTCTTCCTCCTTCTTTCCCCCAAGCTCAAGTAGCTCTTTTCGCGACGAAGAACAAGCAGCTTGAACATGCTATGCCTCCGGGTCAGCAGAAGGGCAGAAATGTCAATCTTCCAAAGGCTACTTTGCCTAATGGCAATGTTAGCACATATCAAGACGGCTACTGGCCGTGCAGTCTTTGCCCACTACATGGTGAGCAAAACCATATCACAAATCGACACAATAAAAGCAGAAGACTCACAATCCTAGGTCGGCAATATCACAACTGATCATATCCAGCAGGATGTGGACGATGCCATTGCTATGGGTCTTGATGGATTTGCTCTCAACGTCCAATGCCCAACGGATAGCTGGGCCGGTACTCTTGTGCAAGAGATGAGCCACTATATCGTGCATCAGCGCTACGATTTTCGTATCTTCATCAGTATGGATGTGTACGCATCTGGGGGCCCCTCCTGTGGTCAGGGCCCTGCAGGCTATGTCACTCTGTGTCGCGATGCTATGGGTTATGGGGCATACTACATGGTGGGTGACAAATACATGGTGAGTACTTATAGCTCCGGTGGAGGAACTTGGCACAATTGGGAGTCCTTCAAAGACTCCGTGATGGGCGATGGCGGCTATGATGTATATTGGATTCCCGATCTCGGCGACACAGAGGGTTATTGGACGAGTGACGCTGGCTGGTGGTATTATTGGGGAAACCTCACCGACGGGCTTTTTAGCTGGGAATCCGCATGGCCAGCGTTGGGACAAGACGCCGCCGACCAGAGCGGAGGCATTGGAGGAGTGGCTCGCGACCAGGTGATCATTGATGCGGCTGAAACTGAGGGTGCCTCCTACATGATTCGTGGGTCTCTCCTCGCTTCCGTTGGTTGAGGCTTCCAGTCGCTAACCATGAACTTATAGCCCTGAGCTTGATGCAGTATAAGAACTCGGTGAACATCTCTCTCTTCCCTGGTCACTAAGTACCTTACTAATTGCATTTCAGTACTCGACCAATGTTTATCGCCAAGGAGAGACAAATTTCATGCAACGGCTTCACGATATTTTGGAAATCGAGAGCGATGCGCTCGAGTTTGTGGAATATATTACCTGGGTAAATTGCTCTTCCTGAGGCTTCACAGATCTACAGGAGGTGAATCACTGACAAGCACAGAATGATGGACCGGAAGGACATTATATTGGAAACCTATGGCCTGAGCAGAACACTGATGCGGCACCCAACAACTACGCCAATGATATTTGGCCCCACGATGCCCTCCAGCCTATCATACAGTCCTTTGCCACAGCATTCAGAGCGTCTGCTGGTCCAACTGATATGCGGCCTCAGAATGGAGAAGATGCGGTGGGTGCCATCTGGTACCACACGCTTGCTTTTGACGATACCTGTCCTTTCGAAGGAATTGGAGAATACACGTTTTGGGATAAACCAGCGGGTTACGAAACATTTTCGCTAACCACACACTGGGCCGTTGTCCTCGATGATACAGTTGGAGGGTACGCTCCTAGCGACCTAGAGCTCATCATCACTACAGCAGCTGATGACCAAGTTGTGGTGACCGACCTAAGTGCCGGACTGAACTTTGCTCAAGGGCCGAATATCAATGGTGGGTATTCAGTCTCCATGATACTCGCCCCCAAATCAGGTACAACCGTTTTATATTCCGCATCAGGGGGGAAATGTCCCGCTTCCAGCTGCACGGAAGGTTTCTACAATCTCAACTATCAGATTCTACCTTTAGTCCCGGGTGAGAGCGGCAGCGGTTGCACTTACGAAGAGACTGTGTTGCGGTATACGCCTCTGAATACCACCGCGGATGACACCATTGATTGCGCGGGTCTGTTGACATTGACCGACACGGCAGTCACTTCATGGGAAGTCAGCCAGGCTGGCTTGGCCTTGGAATTCGAGACGACGCGTCATGCGTTGTCAACTAGCCATGGTAAGTAAAGGCACTTGCTGTTTTCACTCATGCCGTCTAATGAATCCCAGTGTTGACTACGACGCTTCCAAACATTGATTCCTACTTCAACAAGTACAGCATAGTGGGCGTCACCGGCTGCTCGGATATCACTAATGATAACGCTTGCCAACTACCCCAAACCTGCCCGGTTTCAAACGACCAAGTTCCATATTTCTTCGCTCAACGGGCCTTTTCGGTCTTCCAGCGATGTCTGCGGGAGATGTCCACGTCTGTATTTGAGGATGGTTTCATTACCTCTTTGGCAATTGACGATATGGTCGGGAATGTTACGGCTTATTTGACTCCTAAGAGCGACGAAGCAGATCTGGTCAAGATCATGGGGGCCATGGCCGCAGGATTCACCATTCTCAGTGGTGGCCTCGGCCCAATCAGTACCTTTACCAATTCTTTCTCAGCACTTTTGGGCGGGGTATTCAGCATGATCTCCGTCTTAGCCAGTCCCAGTGACCCAGCCGATAGCAGTGCTTTCTTAGCCGAACCACGCACTGCTCTGTCAGATCGTCTCTCCGTGGTGGTTCAGCAGTACAACACTAGCTTGGTCAATCTGGCCCAAGCCGTGTTCGAGGCAGGTGATCTGTCCTCTCTTCCAGACTACGCACTCGACACCTCGGCCGATATATATGGGAAATATTATACCACCGACATGGCCAAATTCTTCGCCGGGGGTCGGTTCGCAGACCCCAATATGGCGTGTGGCGATGTTGCCAGTGGTCTCAAGACCGCGATTCAACAGTCTCTCGTGGGATACATGCTCGCCAGCTCCAACGTCTACATCATCCAGAACGGCCATTCCGCCGACAACTGCCCCGGCAGTCGAGGCACTGTGCTGAATCTCGATTCCGCGGGGTCGGTCTGCTACACCCTCGAGCGACCCGGGTCAGGTTCCTACTACGAGGATCTCTCCGACCCCCTCTCAGCGGACTTCTTCGACGTTCTGTACGGTTCGTATAGCATCAACCTCCCGGCTCTGATCAGTAGCTCGCTCCAGTGCCAGACCGCGCAAGGCTACAACGGCACCTACAATCCTTCCACGAGCATCATTCCGGGCTCGGGATACGCGATCGACAATCTGCCACCATGCTTCTTCAATCTTCCAGTCCTCTACACGGACTACACGGTGAAAACCACAGGTGAACTGGTGACAACATCGGGAACACCGTGCCAGCTTCGGGAGGGGACCGAGGACGATGGAGCGGGCAACTATCTTCCGCCGAACCTGGCGGAGGTGTTCACCGCTCACTTTTGTCTCTACAAGCCAGGCCACTGAGATACTGGTACTACCTAGTGGTCACTCAGAACAGTGGCCTGTGATTCTTGCACCCAGCTTATTGTTTGCAAGCTTCGGAGATCCCATTATTGTATCCGGAGACTGGCCGTTGAGATATGAACCATTGGAGCTATCTCTCAATCTGAGGTTCTCTCCGATTGCAGTAGGGTTTGTGCTGATGAATGTTCTTTATAGCAATTGTTCTTTAACTTCTGTGTACATACATTAGAAATATTTTATTGTTGACTGAAATTCGAGGTGCATACCATCGACCCCTGGAACAAATCGCCATAGAGTATAGTATCACCGGGGGCGCAGGCATCCGAACATCCCCCTCATCCGTTGGAGAATTGATGATTTATACAGAGAGAGAGAAAGAGAGAGCCAGAGAGATGGTCCTTTAAGACAATCGTCTGGGACCTCTTTTTTTCTTTTTCTTTTTCTTTTTTTTCCCCCCCCGAATTGCAGACGAAAGCATAGCGCTCTCATCCCATCCATCCTATCGATATACAATCTTATGGCGGGTAAGATAGCTAGCTAGCCTTAAGTTAGGATCAACAATAATATCCCATTCCTTCTTGCATTGTATCTTCTAACAGGGTAGAATGATTTGACTACGATACGGAGTACTAAGTGGTTGTTTGTTCAATTCTCCCTCATCCGTCAGTCAGATTTGTCGGACGAGAAGAAATGAAATGTCTGGATATAGAGAATTGGCTGCGCGGTGCTGGTGGCTGAACTTCCCAGGGGCCGGGTCTGAATCGACACGCTGCTGCAGTTGCATGCCTTGCGGTGCGGTGGGAGGGGGGAATTGTTTGGACCTATAAATTCTTAAGAGTACAGTGATGTTCTATTATGATTAGTGCCTGCGTCGCGCAGTATGTTGGGACTTTCATGGAATTGACTATAGTATAATGGGCCACGTGAGTTAAGTTCGACTAGTCAGAGGATGGGTTGGTCTGTGTGCTCGATCAAGCAACTATCCCGAGGTTGCATGCAGCGTTGCCGTGTGTTAGAACAAGACAAGCAGACTCCGAGTCACTCCTCCGTAACTTGCTTCGATTCTTCACCACGTAATCTAGAATTACCGGCGATCACGGATCGGTTGATCTAGTCAATGGGTGATCATTGAGGAGATTCCACAAATGACATTTAGGGGGTTTCATTCTTGTTCTGGTTCTATCAATGAAAATTGCACCATTGAATCTACTGCATTGTCAACGCCCTCTTAGCTGCTATTTCTCTTGCTACTGCGCCCCCACACCAAAACTCAGGTCAGGTCAGGTCATTATCATGCCATAGTTATATTAAACAAGGTTACTCCGTAATCGTCATCAATACGATGGGATATGGTAAGCTGAAATCATTACACCAGCACACCATAGCACCCCACACGAAGGAAAAAAAAGAGGAAAGTTGCGGTCTAGGCCACATATTGGTACCGGTTCCCTTCCTCGCGTTCCATGTAGTCCTTCTCGATGAGCCTGCACGTTGATAGAATGGTTAGTCCGAAGTTTCTTCAAGTAGGGATTGTTGTCCAAAACTCACTTTTCAATATTCTTCTTGATCTCCGCCGGCTCAAGCACTCCCCGGCTCCGCGTGGCCTTGATCACCTCGGCCACTAACTCCGGGTGGGTGATGGTCTTGCGACTCTTCATGATGCGGACGATGGCCGCCTGCGTCTCGTAGTGGCGGTCCGCCGCGACCCGCTCATGCGTCGTCTTGTTCTCCTCCTTGGTCTCCTTCAGCTGGATCTGGTTAATCTTGATCCGCATCTTCGGGTCGGAGAACCCGGGGTTGTAGGCAAATTCGTCCGTCTTGTTGACCTCGCGGCCCTTGGGCTTCTTGGCTAGCACGCGGTACTTCGCACACGCGAGGGATTGGAGCGTTCGCTGGAGTTCCTGGTCGGCTATATTCCAAAGCAGTCAGCAAGGAATCCAATGCCCTTACGAATAAGCTTACTCACACAGCATGGTGGCTTCCTGGATTTGGGCGTAGGTCAGGAATCCGCCCTCTGGAAGATCGTTGAACAGTAGCAGGACGATCGCCTGGAATGAGCTGACCACGAGTTCCTTGTCACCCTTGGGGAACCTGGCGCGCAGCTGACAGTGCGCCAGCTGGTGCTTCCAGTTGAGTTTCCGTCCGTTGTATTTGGTGTGATAGAACTTCTCGAAGTCGTCCACGCTAGTCGCGATCTCGGCGGGTATCCGCACCGTAACGTCGGGATATGTCGGCCAGGCGGCCGCTGAAAGCACGCTGACGCTCAGGTCAACCGGGAGCCGGTGTCGACGTTCGCGTTGGATGGAGCTGTAGGCGGCCATCTCGTCACGCGCGACATCCATGTCCTTGAACATGGACTCCAGGTTGTGAGTGAAGCTTGATCCGCATTCTGGATTTTATTAGTAGGAGTTCCATATTTTGTTCCGCAATAGACCAGCAGGGCTTTAGAATAAGGGAAGGTACCAGTCTTGAGCCTCGAAAGCATGCTCTTTTCCGCATCGTCACTGGCGCTCCGGCCCATTAACAGCCTGCGCGCAAGGTCGTTCTTGTAAAATGCCTCGAACACAGCTTTTCCGTGAACAAACCGGAACAGATCCAAGACCTGATCGAGTTGCCGGTTGATTTCGGCATCTTCATCTGCCAACGGCATATCCTCCGCGTTTCGTGTAGGGGCCAGCTTCCAGCCGCCCTTGAGTAGCCTGTCCACGTATTTTGCGATCATTTCTCCAGTCTTGGGATTGTCGGTTCCTCCCGTAGATGCGGATTTTCTCCCCATGTTCATGAACGTTTCGAAGGCTTCGCGAAGGACGTGGCCTAGCTCTTCGTTGCGATGGAATGAGCCATTCCAGAGGTCGTCAAGCTGTTGCTTGAAGTCTAACAGACGCGCCACCATGTCTGCTTCTTTCTCCTCGTCGAACACGATCGCGGACCCTTCCTCGATGATGTAGGCGCTGAATGAGGTCCTCAGCTTGGCCCCCAGGTCTTTGCGTTGGAGGAGGGAGTACAGCCTTTCCAGGGCAACTTTGTTACCCGCCCGTAGGAGGCCCAGTATATCCTTCTGGTTGAGCAGAACCCCTTCCTGCTCAGCGACCAGAGTCCGATCGAGAATTTCTGCAAGTTTCTGTTTCGTGCTTCGATTTAGAGAGAACAGTTCGCATCGGTTGACCTCCCGCTCAATCAACTTATGGCTGCTCTCCGCCAATGTCGCCAGATAGCCGGCTGCTTCTCGTTGAACCCATGAAGAGAAGAACTTGTCCGATTCGGCAATAAAGACCGGCTCGAAGGCGGATGTGTAGATATCAAGTCCATGGAATAAATCGATGGCATTGCGGAGTAAGGATGAATCAGCGACCGTACTCTTTGCTTCGTCCCGGTCCGCTTCCACGAGGTCGCAAGCGCCTTGCAGGATCTTTGGTTCTAATACTGGATCGGAGAATATGTGCTGTCGGAACTGGATCAAGCCCATCTCGCGAATGACGGGAAACTCTTTGGAGTGGAGGAGGAAGGACTGGTCGAGATAATAGAAGATGGAGCGGACGGTTACCTGATGACTGTCAGTGATTTTCAATCCTCGTCGACCTGATGAGGCCGTTGGTCACCATACCAGTTTGGACTGCCATAGCGACCATGCCTCGACGACCGCCCGCAATGTTTCAATGTTGGTGCCACCAGCCGCCTGCGCCGTCAGCTTCTCGCGCAGTTTCCCAGTGACGTAGTCCCGACATCGATCCGAGAGCCGCTTGGCCAGGGCCGCAGCTCTCCCCTGTCGGCAGACATGCTCGGCGCCTTTATAGAGTTCCTCCAGCGACTTTTCCGGCTTCCCGCCACCAAAGATTGCCACTAGCGCGGCATCAAGCTGATCCCAGACCTTCTCGAAGTATGCATCCGGGTTCAACCGGGACCCGGTCCGGAGATTCTTGACAACCAGCCGCTTCGCACCAGTATGCGGGGTGAAGTTGCCCTGGCGCGACGCCGCATTGAACGGCCGAGGTCGGACCGCAGGGTTGGCCGCGCCGGCCCCGCCCGCGGTGTGGCCCATGGCCTCGCCTAACCGAGGCTCCGCATTTGTGAAGTTGTACATCCTTTCGGGCGAGGTCTGTTCTTGAGGGCTGACTAGAGGGTAGGAAGGGCCTGGGAGGGTGGGCGACAGGCGCAGACGCTTGGTCGTCGGGGACTGGTGCTGATGGCTTCGGCCGTCGCCGTGAGCGGGGTGGTGATTGCTGCGTGAAAGAAGCTCGGAGATGGTCGCTTGCTGCTGAGGCTGCTGGCGCGAGGCGTCTTCTGAATCGGATAGCTTTCTTTTACCGATCGATTTGCGCTTACCGCTCCTCTGCTCGGGGGCGCCTCTTGAGTTCTGCTGCATCTACCCGGTTCAGTCCGAGGAGAAGGGTGGTGAGGGTATGGGAGCGCTCAGCGTCGGAAGGACCCAGAATCAGTGCGGGCGAGCCCTATCATGCATGGCAAGTCTTTTCTCAGGCCAATTCTAGAAATCCACCGTACACTGCTGGGGAGAAGGCGAGGACAACAAGATGGTGCGACGATGGAGGACGAAGACTGAATCGAAGTGAAATGGGCAGAGTGAAGTGGTGGTTGAGGTTAGTAGGTTTGTCGAAGGGGCGTCACAGGCTAGATCGAACCAGCGGCGGCACGGACTGAGACTGACTAAAAGTCCCCGGAGATAAGATAATACTTCCGTTCATTGCGGCAGACATGATTGGCTAAGACCCCCAGTATACGTATTTTGGTGGACCTCACCTTCTCTCAACCCCGCCATGTTATACAGTACTTGTACATCTACCTCTGAACCTTGTGATTCTTGGTAAAAAGTCCACCCTCTAATGTCTCATTCCTGAGCAGATTTAGTACGCGCTATCGGCTGATAAACATGTTCATATACATCAAAATCTTATCAAAAAGAAATCCCATAGCTTGTCCAGCTACCCGACTCACAAGAGGTCCGGCTCATGAGAACGACGGCTCCCCTGTGCGTTCCTCAAGTTCCATCTCTTCGAACTAGAGTAATCAAAATTAGTGGGAGAAAGCGAGACGAGAAAAGTAGGGCAGCACGTACATCGAGAAAGTCGGTGGCGGTAATGAGCGCCATGTAAGACTTGACAAGGCTCCCCAAGGTGCCTTGATGATCCGCATGACCAGTGCCGCTAATCCGAGCAAATCGCTTGAAGATGCCCACCATGCCTTGTCTGTTTTCGGTGAGGAACGTGCGCGTTTGTTCCATCATCTGCTCGTTGTGAAGTCCGCGAGAGAACACCGCTGAGACAATCACCCGAAGACAGGCATCAAGCAGTTCGTAATACTTGCGTAGAGCATCGGTGTTGTCAATATCTGCATCCGTTAGTGTAAAGATCAAGCCTTGGAAGCGGAAGAACCGAAGTACTTACCAATTCCAAGATCAGGGTCGGCGGCAAACAGCTGCGACTCGCGCACGGCTTGGAAGAGACCAGTCCTCAAGACATGCGTGGCCCCAACCTTTGTTTGACACAGCTCCTGGAACAGAGACAGCAGAGATTGATAGTAAGACAATAGAAGTGGCGTATCTATTTCATTGATCCGTTAGTAATGCGATCAGCTAAGGAAAGGACTCGAGCTTACCGCTTGCTTGGGTGTTCCTCAGTTCCACTGGCAATACTCGGATTGCGTCGAGGAACAGGCTTAGGTAGTTCGTCTGCGCTATCAATTCGACCAAAACTGGATCCGTCTGTCTATCTAAGACAGCCAGCAGATTGAGACATAGAACAGCCGAGACACGACATGTCTCCTGTCCAGCATATGCATCATCGCAAATGGCTTCGACCAGGGCATGGCCGGTTGCCTTGATGATCTGCTGGCTTTGATTTTTAATAAGGTCATGAGCCGCGTTGGATGAAACGATGCGGGCAACATAATGTGAACATATGTTGTAAAGACTCTCCCTGAGACTGACATTTCCAGTAGCCATGATCACGCCGCGCACGCAAATATGGAACATCTGGTGAAGCTTCTCATCAAGCACATCGCCGCCCTTGCGCGCAAGGTTTAAGTTTGGCTTGGGAGATTCGGAGCTAGAAGACTCCAGCTTGCTAACCAATGTCTCGGTAAGTCTTGCCAGCTCTAACGCCTCCGGCATATCATTCTGAATAGCGGCTTCAAGTTTGGGTAGAATGAGTTGGAGTGAGTGTAGAATGAAGGTAGTTCGTCGGCCACCTTCGATCTCTGCAGAGGAAAGCATGGTTGTGATCAGCTCAGCCCAGGATCGAAGGGCCAAGAAGCGGTTGAACGTGATCTGTCGGAGCCGGTTCGTTGCTTCTATGAACAGCATGAGACTTTCGGCCTCAGCAATAAATTGTTCCTCGTGTAACTGTCCTCTAGCGAACATTTCCTCTTTTCTCACCTGAATCAACTCCACTACCTCGGCCATATTGTATAGGACCAAGGAACGGTCTGCCTCTGGTCTCGCACACACATCAAAGTCAAGGCCCTCGAGGACAAGGAGATCAGGCATAGGTAGGGAACGCGCAATGTCTAGGTCGGCAAAGTCGAAAAGATCAAACACAGAAGGATTTACTGTGGTCTCTCCCGTCTCCGACGTTGAGGTGCCGAATAGGGTGGAGATAAGTTCGGCTTGAAGAGTCGGTGCTCCAAGCTTAGCAGCCGAGCGAATCTCTATCGCGGCGTAATCGAACAAGAAGCTTCTGAGGAGTAAGAATTCCGCGTAAGCTGAGGTTGACTCTGCTAGCCAGAATTCATCCGCAATGATTGGCAAACCATCCCATGACGTGTGAGGTCCAATTATTGGCTGAAGAGCGAGCATATTGGCGAGGAACCGGGAGCCACGCATCTCAGCAAGTGTGAAATACGACGATATCTTCGATGACCAAAGATTCTTCAGAACCTGGAACGCCATACGCTTCATTTGTATCAGCCAGGGAAGAATATTGCCATCCATTGCACCAGGAAAGTCTTGCACGAATTGGATGATGGCATGCAGCAAGGACATCTTGTTGGCAAACATGCCATCAGGGGAGACGTCAAGAAGACTACCTATGCTATTGAAACCGAGAAGGAGGTGGGCTATCGTTGGCCTATCGCTTATCGATCCAAGACAGCCATTCAGAAGTGCTAGAAGGCTTTTCCTGATGATGTAGGCCGGGGACTTATCGCCAGCCTCCAGTTCCCGATCATCGACTTCCATTTGATGTGTGAGAGGCCGTGCTAGGTTGTCCAAGTCTACCTCGGAGCTGAGGATCTCGACGATTTTGTTCGAGGATCGCCATTTAGACAATTCAGGTGATGTGACTTTATTCAGCTTCGGGGAGCTCGACAGCTTCTCTAACAGTGTCATGGACATGACCGTGAGCTCCTCATGCCCGGTACTGCAGTAAAGACACAGTGCAGGTACAATGGTCAAGTTGTTCAGAATGCTGTCTTCAAAGGCCGCAAGGGAAGAGTTGGCCACGGTCGTTCTATTGGCATCCGCTTGTGACCTGATCATCGGTCTGACAATGTTGAAATAAGTTGATTGAAGGTCAAGAATCATATTCATGACATTCAAGCTTCTCAGCAAGGAGAGGACGAGCGTGGAATCTGGCGATGCCCTGGCGACCTCGTTCACATCTTGTTGGGCTGTGGCAAACAGAGATTTGATGACATCTTCGTTGAACAACCATTCTGCAACTCGCGCGAAGGGGTGAAGACGAATGTATGTCACCATTGTCGAAGACTTGAAAGCAGAATCTGGTGACACTGACGGCTGACTTAAGACGGTTACCAGATTTTCATTGAACGAATTGAGACAGCACGCTACAAACTCCAAACAATTAAGGGTCAACAACCGAGTCTGGCGCTCATTCATATCAGGGACTTTTCTTGCTAGAGCGTGGCCCATGATGAAATCAACATATGGCTCGATGCCAGCCGTGCGGTAGGAAGAGCCGAGATTCTCCGGGAAGGGCAACGAAAGATGAAATTCGGCGGACTCAGGAGTAGGCGTAACAAGTGAGGAGACCAGAGTGACAAAAGCATTGGCTTGATCGAAACGCTCACCAATGTTCCGAAAGATTTGCTGCTCATACCATGCAAACGCATTGCTATTCACAGGAGCTTTAGCAATACCGGCAGTATTCGGGTTGGAAATCCACTGATCGATAGAGAGCCACATCTCGTTGCCATTGTGGGCGGTTCGTTCAGTCATGAGAGCTGCGAGGGCTGTGAAAACATTGGCCCTGAGATGTGTGGGCACCGATCCACTGCAAAGCATCAACAAAGTGCCGACGACGTTGAAGGATGGGTGGTGAAGTAGCCAATCTCTAATAGAAGCGCTCTGTCTGCACAGATGCTCCAAGAGCCTGAGGTAGCATGTAAGCATCACAGGACTCTCGGGCTCACTCATATCAGCTGGATTCAACTTCCTCGAGCGTAGGACTGCCTGTGATGCTGGCTGCTTGTTCGTGACTCTTTCGGCGTACAACTCTAGCTCAGCGAACATCTGCGTCCAATTCATAGATGTCGACCGCTTGAACTTGGCAGAAAATAATTTGTCCTCCTCGGAGAGAAATCGGTGGGCTGCAGTGGCGTTGTCTTCGCCTACAGAGATGGAACATAGCAGTTCACAGAAAGCGCTGACCCTAGGAACGGTTTGTCGCTTAGAGGCCCACTGGAGGAAGCCGTACAAGTTTGAGTCAGGATCGGCCCAAAACTCCTGCGCGGCGTCAGGCCGTTGTTCGAACGCAAAAGCCATGATCATCAAGAAAGACTCAAGGTGTGTGCGAGCTTCGACCACGCCACGATGAGGCGTGGAGGTCAAGCCATCTCGAAGAGCTGTGAGGTGATCAAGCCGTTGAGAGTCTTCTTCGGTTTTCAACATGCGAACAGCATCCGGCATGTTTGCGATGCAGGCCTCAGAAAAAAGCTCGAAGCTCTCCATGAGAAGGGTCTTCAGAAACTCGGAGCACTGGTCTAGCTCGAGCATTGCTGAAGCAACCTCTTTCAGAAGCAAAGCTACCAACTCACTGCGAGCTGGATCTGCCCATTCCTCATTATTGATACCATAACAGACTGTAAGCAGGAGATCGAGTCCGCCGTCATCCAGCGCTGTCATGAACAAAGCTGTACGCTCATCTGCGTCTTTCTCGGGTTCCACTCCCTGCACAGGCGAGGACGGGGCATCGAAGTCCCAAGCGCTGAATATTGCGAGCCAGAGTGTAATGATTGCAGAATGGAAAGTGGGCAGCTTCCACTCTTGAGCGACCGTTGTAGTGACGATCTCCTTATGCAGACTTTTGGCTTCTTGATAGGAGCTCGATTTTTCAGGGGAGCCGTGTTGCTCAAAGGCAGATACGATGCATGGGATATAGTGAACGACTAGACTGTCGAAGCGATCAAGGGTTCGGAGATGCTTCACGAGAACTCGAAGGTCTTCAGGGCTGGTATAAGGGCCTTTGAAAAGGTAGCTTAGAACGGCGCCAAGCGTTTCATGCTGCTGCAGTAGGCTGTTGCGCTGGAACTCTAGCAGCTCCATGGTATCAGCATCTTCGATCTGACCGACAAGCGTCGCCTTCTGAGCCTGATCGCCGAGGAGCGCAAGCCACTTCTCCACATCCACCATGGCAGTCATGCATTTTCGGGTGTATAATGAAGCATTTCGCAAAGGACCGTTCTTGATCTCAACCACGTGAGCCATCATTTCCTGCATGATTATTTGGTTTGTTTCCCTTTCCACCTCGAATGATTCCTGGAGAATAAGGCGCAACGAGTCAAGCAAGAACTGCCGGCGCTGGTGAAAGCGCATGATCGCAACATTGAGAAGGGGCCTGTCGAGTGATTGGGCCTCGACTTGCGCATCGAAGAATAAGAACGCAGCTTCGAGTTCATCGATATTCAGGGTATCCGCAAGCTGGAGTACACCTTGTTGAAAATCCTGGTTGATGGAGTATTCGACATTGCCAATCGTTACCTTCCCTAGATCGCATTGCAGACATGGTCAGCATCACATTGACGCCAGATCAAGCGAGCGGCCTCGCCTGAGAGCATCCGTTGAGATTCAGAAGCTAGCACATACCTGAGAGAACGGATTGTCGGCTTGCATTGTTTTTCGTGGGTTTGTCGAGGAGCTTCTTGAAGTCTTCAATGTGAGTCTCCAATTCAACTCGGAGACGCTCGATATTGACAACGAAAGCTGACGAGAGGTTTTGCAAATCCTGATTCAAGCCTCGAAGGCTTGCAACAGTATCTGTGTCCTCCATGCCTGGCAGGAAGCTTGCTCTTGCAGCAGCCAACTTATTGCGACGAGCACCAGCGAAGCGGAAGATGGGGGAGGGGAGATGTGTTTGTCCGGACCAAAAAAGGTCGGAGGACGCGACCAAAATCCCGGGCGGTCAAGAGCGGGCGGAGCTCATCGGCGCCCGCCCGGACCAGAAGTCCTTCTCCATACTGGCTAGTGTACTGTACCTAGGTCTATCTAATCGCCCGCCGCACGAGGAACAACAACAATTTCAGATTCACATGCGGTGTCATCGAACCATACCAGTGCAGGCACTCCCGTAAATTGTGGGATGAAGGTGGTCGCACTGCTCTGGGAGACCTCAGGTCCTCGTCAAAATGGGAGAAATTACCCTCGAAGGAGCCATTGCGCTTCTGGCATCTGACAAGCTCAAGGCACGGTCAGATGGACTAGCCGGTCGGTCACCTTTTATTACCTTGGCAGCACTTTTATTGGCAAAAGCTCTAACACTGAATAGATCTCAAACATATACTACAACAGAATAGAAAAAGTTCTAAGTTGTACGTCAAAGTCTCATACTGAAATGTATGTTCCATTTCTGGGCATTTTGTGGATTGACACCTACGTGTGTAACCTTATAGAAACACACTCAATGACAAGGCCTGCCACAAGCTGTTTGAGTCATTATTTCGATATGTCTCAGTGGAAAAGTCCCTGTATACACGCGCAAGCTCGAAAGGGGCCTCTGCCTCGCGTCTATCATCATGTGCATCCGTCATTCGCACGGCCATTGATGTTTTCTTGCCTAATTTGCGGACGAAGTCGGTCCGCGCGATCGTTGACCATGTCACGGAGACTGTATCGACTCCCGGAGCTCCTCTTGCGGATATCCTCGGCGTGGACTATATCAAATGCTTGACTACTCTATTCAGTTTTCCTCCCCACCTTGAACACCTTGCCGGCAATGAATGGGACAAACTTCTAGAGTTTTGCCTACAAATTTTAGGCTCGCACGAGACTGACAGCCAAGAAAGTGGGCAAACCCATCGCTTGTCTACTTTAGACAGTCTTGTTGCCTCGGCCAATGGTGCCTCAACACCGTCCAGAGTGTCTTTCAGGGAAAATTCTAGACCCGACACAAGTGCAGTTACAGAAGCTGTTTTATGTATTCAGCTTCTTATTGGGTGTCCGACAGCTCCGATCCTTGAGTCAGCCGAGGAGATCCTTCAAGAGCTGACCAAGCTTCTGAGCTCGTCAAGCTTGGCTGGGAATGGCTACCAAGCAGCCTTTGATTGCATCAATAGAGTCGTGATGAAGGTATTGCCTGAACAGTCAGATCTTGCTCGGATTTCATTGCTCAACCTTATCCCGGTGATCAGGCGACTGTGGCCCACCAAGATTCTAGGCTTGAAGGATGAATTGATTGTGACTTCGATGCTATGTGTAATCATTCTGACTGACGCAGCTCACAGAGAGCCGTCCGAATCTCTAATTCACACGATCGAAGATATGTTGGTTACTCTGCAGACAGAGTACACAAAACGGCCAGAGAAGGATATGTTGCAGTTGGACGAGCTATCTTTCCACCGTCGCACTTCAACTGAACGGCACGAATACTTCACTTGGCCTCGTCTCGACGCCCCAAGATCCGAGCATAATTGGACTATGTTGTGGGTTACAGCCAAGCTGATTGAGCTATTAGAGGACATCGCTGTGCGGCTTTCTACTCCTTCTGAAATTAAATCCTCGACGAAGAAGCGTCGCCTGACCTCGATGTTCGAAGATATTATCCGACAATCCACAACTGCCTCAAATGCAAGCAGAGTCTGCGCCTTACAGTTACTACCTTTTCTCCACAATTGCTACGGGAGCATTGATTCGAAAACTGTGTTGCTCGAACGATTGCTTCCAAGTATGCTTGACGATAACAGTGCCATTTCTATATGGACGATGGTTGCCATTGCAAGGTTCGTCAGGCATGCCGAGTACTAGAGGTACGAAGTGACTGACGCAATAGATTATAGTATCGCAAGCAGTCCAAATGCAGGCTCATTATCCCTGAGATCGTATTGGGAACAGGCTTGGGAACTTGCGTCTCGGGCTTCAACATCCCAAGCAACATCCAGAGCAGCTTGCAACGTCATGCACAACATTCTTCACTTTGAGCTCCTAGACTACTCTGTGGTCATCCAGTCAATAAATTCGATGCTTTCTCCTAGCAACTTGGATGGACCGTCTTCTCTGTCCGATTCATCTCTAGCACTCTGGGCTACAATCATTCGTAAGACAGCGCAGATCAACCCGGGATTAGTCACGGAAGCTTCAAGTAAGATATCGTCTTGGCTTCGCGAATCGTGGACAATAGGTTTGTCTCGGAATTATTCACAGCTATCGCTCAACTTTCTGATTTTGAACAGGGACGGTGACAGACCGTATGCATATAGCACAAGTGGCATCATTCGCTCGTCCTCTGGACATTGTCAATGTGCTTCTTGCTTGTACAAACCGACGTCTTTCTTTGCCAAGAAGTCAATATGGAGGATTTAACAGTCCTGTTGCCAAAGGCTGGCAGTACTTCATCCGCAACAAGCAGCTCTTGAATTATCTGTTTGACCTCGAAAATGTGTTAGACAGCGCGGATATATGGATTGTCCAGGATCCATTGCCGTTGAAATCATATGCTCGGCCTGACCCAAATGGTTACATTATTCTTGATTTGTTGCATACGAAATCCGAGAGTCTCTTGCAGGCCTGGCAGTCACTTTCAACTGAGAAGTCACATCATATCACAACGGATATTGTGCAGATAGTTGTGTCCTTCTGTGTCGCTGTTGCCCTGTACACGGAATGTCTACCAGAGCAAGTGAGAGAGCGAACGGCCTCCCTACACAAAAATAGTCAGCTACTGTGGGAAAGCCTATGCTCATTCATGAAAAATCGAGAATCAGGATTTGTGAACGCTTGTCTAGCAATCCTGTCGCCATACCTGACACCGGAGAATTTATTCCTTGCTCCCAAGTCAGTTGTGTCGAATGCTCTGTGCGGCTTGTTAGGTCCCCTGGCGGAAATCCTAGAAGAATCCCGACAACGACAGAGAGAAATATTGGGTTCTCGCGGTGAAGAACCCATGGACTTGGACGATCCATTGCTCACTGACTATGACCAGTTGGCAGAGATCACAGGCATACTGAATAAGAACCGAGAAGCACTTCCCTTGCTCCAAGATGGTGCCACATTTCAACGCTGTCTTACTGTTCAAGTGTCTTGCTTCCAGAAGATATATGTCTACTTGGCCTCTCCTGATCAACTGTCCAGTGAGGAGGACATTGTTAGTTATTTGACTAGTCTCGACGAGGTTGACATTTTGTCTGCTCGGGATTTTCTCCCCTATATCTACCAGGCCAGTGCTGGCCTAAGCCGCGAATCGTTGCTAAACATACTCGAGGATCTCGCTGAGAAGTGCCTCCAGTCCTACGGATTAGAACGCTGCGAAAACTCTCACCTTGTTTGTCTCCGTATGATGCAAAGCTTTGTCAAATCATGGACTGGGCAGGAGAAAGACCATTTCTCTGATTCGGCGACTGACATATACACATGGTTTGTGGATATACTTCTTGCAAAAAAAAGAGCTTCTCCCTCAGTCCTCATTGCGATGACGGAGCTGCTGGGAGAGATTCTTGTCCACAATTCTGCCTATACAAGCGGCCCAGCAAGTCCCTCTCCCCGTACCTGTCTCTTCACCATACTCAGGCGGGGAAACGCTGCCGTGAAGTTCAGGGCTGGCGAATTGATCCCTCGAATTTTCGGCAATTTCCCTCTCACCAATCACGATGCCATATTCAGTGATGTGTTGAGCAGCCTGCCTCGAGATCCGGACTGGATTGAAGGGATCGCTCTTCGACTTCTCATTTTAGCTCGCCTTGCATCCGTGTGGCACACACTACTCCGCAGAAGTATCTATCACATGGTCGAAACTCCTGCTCATGTTCCATGTTCACTACGGTATGCCGAGAAATGCATGAAAGAGGTTGCAGACATACTTGGGCTCAAAGATGCCAGAGAGCTCTTTCGCCTTTTTTGCTCCCAAATCATCTACACATGGACGGAAGGTCAGTCCTTAACCTCATTGCCTTATAGTGTCTTCGGATACGCCAGCACCGAAGATATGTTGCTTGATGTGCAAGATGAGGCTGTTGGTCAGGTCATGATGCGTTGGAATGAGCATGAGGCGGAAGAGCTTGCGGCTTGTACTGGCTTACCGTTCGTTGAACTTGTAGCCGCGTCTTTCTATCAAGCAGAGGCTTACAGCATTGCTCGCGATATCAGTATTCCCCCTAGCCAGGGAAGTCAGCCAAAGGGCGTGGAGAACCAACTGAAGAGGATGCTGGGTGCAGACAGATTCATATCATTGGTTGAAAGGCAGTTTCCTCAAATTATAGCAACCTTTTTCAAAACACTTGACCAATACGATCAAGTCGAAAGAGCACTCCAAAGGCAGAGCAACTTTCGCGAGGCCCATGATATTCTGAGATCTATCGTTGGAAAGAGCTGCTCAAGCACCGTGTTACCTGCAAACCAACAGCCGTCGTTCAGGGCTCGTTATCTCATCGATGAGCTTGATTTCATCTGCAAGCGTAGTGGATACGAGCTAGCAACCATCTGGACACCTGCTCTAGCAACCTATACTTGTCGCGCGCTGTTGGAATCCATCCACCCAGCCCTTGGCTCTCTTCACGCTTGCTCTGTTATTCGAAAGGTCAGGATCCTCATCAGTGTTGCTGGCCCTGTCATGCTGCGGGATTATCCGTTTGAAATGATCATCCACGCACTTCGGCCTTATCTAGTTGATCTATTCTGCGCAGAAGATGCACTTGGGATCTTTTGGTACATGCTAGACGCAGGAAAGGGTTATCTGAGCGAGTGTCCCGGTCTTACGGCCGGAATAGCGGTAACAACTTTGCTTTCGTTGAGAAGATTCATTGCATCACCACCGACAGAACCAACACAAGAGGATCTCCTGCGACGGGTAATGGCTAAAGTGGAAGA